ATCAGTGCTCTGGTCACTATTGCAACTAAAACCTTCCTTCGCTATGACCGTCTCCGAAACCTCATCGCCAGCATCCGGCGTTTCTACCCAACAGTCACTATAATCATCGCTGATGACAGTGAGCAACCAGAGCCAGTCAACGGCCCTCATATCGAGCACTACCTCATGCCCTTCGGCAAGGTCAGCAACAGGGGGTTATTAGGGGAGCACGGTGGTGCTGAATGGATGGGAGACAGCCCCATAGCAATTAGGGGAAGAGGTACAATATATATCTGAAGGAGATGGTGGACACAGGTTACTGAGAAATAGTGGGAGGATGGAAGAATACGTTTAATTGCTCACCCCTTCTCCCCTAACTCCCGTCACTTCCCCTAGGGATGGTTTGCAGGCCGAAATCTAGCTGTTTCCCAAGTGACCACAAAGTACGTGCTGTGGGTAGATGATGACTTCATCTTCACTGGAAGGACAAAGCTGGAGAGGCTTGTCGATGTGCTGGAGCAGACATCTCTGGACTTGGTATAAAAGGGATGAGGGTGGGGGGAGGGGTAAGTAAAGGTAGAGAAGATTGAAGAGAAAGCTTCCTGGAGGGCAACCTGGAGAGGATAAGTCCTATGGAGATGGAGGGAGGGCACCTGGGGGGTGTGTGAGGCAAGAAGGCCAAAGGAATAAGCTATTTATATAAAGCCTACACATCTAGCACTATGCTAAGTGCTCCTTTCAACAACCCTACAAGGTAGGTACTATTGTCCTCATTTTGCCCCTGAAAAAAATCAAACAGAGCTTAAGTGACTTGCTCAAGTTGATACAGTAAGTATCTGAAGCTGGATTTAAACTCGGGTCTTCCTGATCCTGGGGGCAGCTAGGTGGCACAATGGATAGAGCACTGGACCTAGAGTCAGGAAGACCTGTGTTCAAATCTGACCTTAGACACTTACTAGCTGTGTGACCCTAGGCAAGTCACGTAACCCTGCTTGCCTCAGTTTCCTCATCTATAAAATAAGTTGGAGAAGGAAATGGCAAATTGCTCCAGTATCTCTGCCAAGAAAACCTCGAATGGGATCACAAAGAGTCAGACCCCATTGAAACAACTGAACAACAACTTCTTTCTGATCCTAAACCCAGTACTCTATCCTCTGTGCCCCCAGATGCCTCTTTCCAGCCTAAGCACCCAATAATGAAGCTTTCTCCATCCCCAAAGGGCACAGAGGAAAGGAGAAGGGAAGTTTTTAGATATCTAAGAGCTAGTGGGTGAGGGCAGAAAAAGCCTACCACTAAAACCTAAATGTCTATCTGCCAAGGCCTGTGTACAGGTGTGGGATAGGTGTGAGAAGGGAGGAGGCAGAGACAGAAGAGCCTAATTTTGTGAAGATAGTGAGTGGGTAGAGTAGGGGTATGTGGGAGGTACTGTAGTCTTAGGAACCAGAAGCCTTTTGGTCCCAAGGCCCTCCCTGCCCAATCCACCCTCATTCCTTCATCTTCTCTTTCTTTGTCCTTCTCATCTTTCCTCCGCAATATTTCACTATGTCCACTTGCCTCCCACTTCCTGGTATATAACCCTGTGTCTCCCTTTTGCCTCTTTCAGGTCGGGGGAGCGGTTCGGGAGATCACAGGCTACTCCACTACTTATCGACAGTTGCTGAGCATAGAACCTGGTGGCCTGGTTGGGGAGACTGCTTCACCCAAAGGCGAGGCTTCCATCATGAGCTCCCAGGTTTCCCGGGTTGTGTGGTCACTGATGGTGTTGTCAACTTCTTCTTGGCTCGAGTAGACAAGATTCGAGAGATTGGCTTTGACCCTCGACTCAGCCGGGTGGCCCATTTGGGTATGTGACATTCCCTCCATACACCTGTAAGCCCTCACCTTCATTAGGGTTTGATAAACTAAAGGGTACAACTGGGTACCTGAGTCTTGGTGATGAAAAGTGACTCCAAAGCAGAGCTGGGACTTCCAGCCCAGGGAGCACATAGGGTGAAAAATGTATAGGCACACAATGAGGCAGACTGGAAAAAAAAATTTTTTTTAAATAGGTACAAATATTTGGGGTTTTTTTCTGTTTTAAAGAAATTTTTATTGGCATCTCTTTTTATATCACCTATATTTCCCAAAGTAGTCCTACCATCCTGCCCTGGGGCATCTACCTTTAATGACAAAGAATTTTTTTAAAGGGAAGAAGAACTAACCAACTTATTCAAACTATTTTACATTATCTGTGGTGTTTTACCTCCTCAGTTCCACACATCTATAAGGAAATGAGGAAGGAGTTTTCTCTTATCTCTTCTTTGGAGCCAAGCTTGGTTTTTGTAATTTCATAACATAGGTTGTTATTTTGTTGTTTTTCTTTCCATTTACAATGTTACACTCATGTGTACAGCTTTACTGGTTCCACTTCACATCAGTTCACATCTTCCCATGTTTCTCTGTACTTATTGCATTAGTTTTGTTTTTTTTTTATAGTACAATATTCTCTATCATAACTTGTTTAGCTATTGCTCATTCAATGGGATATGCACATAATTATAATGCAAAAAAAAAAGCTTGCATGTAAATACTGGTTTTTATTTTTAGATAAGGTTTGTCCAGTGTGGTAGGGTGTAGGTTCAATTGTCACTGTATCCAAAGGACCTGTTTTCAGATCTTGTCCTAAGCACAAACATGTCTCCTTGCTTTGGTCAAAGGCATTTCCCCTCCTCTTCCTGTCTCCATTTCCCAAAAGCCCAGCTCCATCCTTATATCCCTAGAGCATGAATGATGAGTGACCTCCATCACTACCACCTCCTGTACCATAGATCGATAGGTTTGAAATTGAAGAGTTCCTTTATACTTAACAACCTCAATCGTTCACAGACACCCTGTACCCTTTTTTTCTTTTTTAACCAGATTGTTTTTTTCCTTCAGTATAGGGTTTTCCAGTGTGGAACCAATGCAAATTGCTGTCTATTCCACAACTTATGCCCTTAGAAAGTTGCCTGATGGCACTGAGAGGTTATTAATTTCCTAGGGTCAAACAGCCAGTCTATGCCAAAAGTAGGACTTGAATCCAAATCCTCATGATTTGAGGCCAGCTCTGTATCCACTAAACCCCTCTGCACATTTTTATTACACATGTATTAGAATATATTGCACATGAAAGAAAAATGGCATTTCAACTCCCTCCTGCAACTCTCCCCACCAAGGTGGTGGATATTCTGTTTCCAAGAAAAGAGAGATAAGAAGAGTAAGAGCTAGGGATCTATAATTTATATCTCTTCTAACTTTTTCTTTCTTCCTCCACCAGTCTTGCCCTTTTTTCTACCTTAGATTCAGGCAAGAGAAATGAAGCATTAATTGAATGGCTATCCCAGCCAAGAAAAAGTCTTGCATTTGTATTTCGTTTTTTAAAATTTCAACAATGCCTTTTGTTTTGTTTTGTTCTTAATACGATAGTCATTTCCAGATAGACTCCACCCCAAGTGAGCCTTCCCTTGTAGCCAAGATAAAAAAAAGGAAAGAAACCTTAAGCCAAATGGACACATCCACCCTTCTGACACATTACATAGCATCCCACAGCCTTAGTTCCTTGTCTTTCCAAAGAAAGGAGCAGCATGCATTTTCCCATCACTTCTCCTGGGCCAATATTGATAATTATATTTAATGTTCAATTTCATTTTATAGTTATTTTCCTTTATTTTGTTCTATATATTGTGTATATATTGTTTTCCTGATTCTACTTACTGCATTCTGCATAAATTCATATAATGCTTCTCATATTTCTCTGAATTCCTCCTTGTTTGTTACAGTGAAATAACTTGACATTATATGAATATGCTACAATTTGTTTAGCCATTCCCCAGTTGATGGGCACATGCTTTGTTTCTAGTTCTATCAGGTCTTAAATTTACAAAGTACTTTCAACTTGTTACCTTGCTATCCAGACAACCTGTGACAGATACTTATCCCAATCATAGTCAAAGAAATAGCCTCAGAGACAGGCAAAACCTTCCTGGAACACAAAAATCCTAGATTCCTTTGCCCCATTGAGTTCTATTCTTTGGGTAGGCCCCTGCTCTTCATGACCTTTCTCAATGTCTCCCTCTTTTTCTTTCCCTTTTAATTCCCCCAAGAATTTTTCCTGGATGGACTTGGCTCCCTTCGGGTAGGCTCCTGTTCCGATGTCTTGGTGGATCATGCATCAAAACTGAAATTGCCATGGGCAGCGTGGGGGACTGAGGCAGAGATTTATGCCAAATACCGGTATCCAGGAGTCTCGGATGAGAGCCAGGTGGCCAAACACAAACTGCTTTTCTTCAAACATCGCCTCCAATGCATGACCTCAGATTGATTGGCCCAGTAACCATAGAATGGCTGATGTGATGGACATAGTGGCTCCGTGACTGCCCTTGGACCACTCACAAAATTACCCTGCTGATCAACTCTGTGGCTGACCACTCAAGGACTGTTCAAGGACTAACCAACCCTTCAAATTCTTAGACTTTGACCCAATCCCAGGAGGTGAACTGCTCTTGGTGCCTTCTCCAATGCCCAAAGGTACAACTGGAGCTAAGACCTACCTTCACCAATTTGGTGACAACTCCCTCCCCCCCCCGTCCAGTGCTAAGCCCTCCATTCCCTATTCTTAGAGAGTTATTATAGTGCCAAAGAACTGAAGGTTTCTAAGAGCCAAACTGAACCCACCTCTCAAGTAGAGACACTTTCCGCTATCTCCTTAAGAGTGGAGGCTCCTGATGTGCACAACCTTCCCTCTTTGTGCTGCACTCTGTGTCTCTAGACCAGAACTCTATGCACCATATCCAGTTCCCCTCACTTCCACCCCACCCCCAGGAGAATTTTGACCTTGGAGATAGAGTAGGCACCTGAATAGAAATCTCAAGAGGGGTTATTGAACAAGTCAACAGTTTTGTGATGTCAGTCTTGTCTCTTCAAGGTTGAAGTAGGGGAAAGGGATTCTCCAAGGGACATCTATTGGAATGTTCAGACCCCAAGCCAAGCTAGAAGGGGCTGAATTTGTCATGTTGATCACAGAAAAGCTAACTTCATTTTATTGATGAATAAAGAGGGAGGCCCACCCCAGTTTTTCCCTCAGTGGCCATAATCTCTCCCCTACTACATCCATCTAGTGCTACTGGTATTCCTAAGAAGCAGAGCTGCCAGGTTCAGACCCAGACCATGCAAGTCTTTGAGGCCAGAGGCTCCTGGAAAGGAAAAAGGGAACATCAGGGCAGAGTGAGGGAAAGCATTCTGGGAACATACCTCCTACCTCCCCTATCATCCCTCCTGAGTCTAGGTGGCAGAGTGGGCTGGGGAACTATGCTCTAGAAGATTTTCCCTGGTACTTCAGGCCAACTCTCCCCACTTGAGTCCTCTTTTAAGAAGTGTTACCCCACCCCCTTGCTCCTTCCCTCAATTTCCACTCTACCTCATCAGCTTTTGCATCCCAGTCACATGCTCCCTCACCTCTAGGCTCCCCATTACCCTTCTTCATGCATGTCCCTCCTCCTTGGCCACTTCTTATCCCATTGTCTAGTTTTCTTTTCCTATCCACTTCATTATCCCTAAGACCACCTTCACTTCTCATAATCTTCCCTCCACCAACCCCTTCTCCCCAAACCTTCACCAGACTCTCCAGTGCATGGGCAGCTGCATCTTGGACGCTCACAAAAAGTTGCTCTGGGGTCAATATGTCCAAGAGCCCAGCCCTGGTTAGTGTCCCCAGCACAGGAGCTGTGCCAACAGACAGAATGGTCAAAGTCCCAACTCTGGCTTCCACCTCATACCCCACCAAATAATTCAAAGCATTTCCAGTTCTCCCCAATTTCATGCATCTTACCATTACACTGGGCCAAGAGCAGGTGAATCCTGGCTGCACTGCACTGACTAGCCAGCTGGTGAAAGGAAGAGTTTTAAGATGGGTTAGAAAAAGAAGAGTTGCTTCAGTTGCCCACTATTTTCAGGACCAGCTCCAGCTATGATCCATTTCTTTACCCTGCTATGACATCCTTCCTCAGATACTACAATCTCTCTCTCTCTTCCAATTCTGGAACCATAAATCAACTCTGTCATTGCTCCATGAAAGAAGGGTATGCCAACCTACTCCCTGGCTACTACTCTTATAGTTCCTTTAACTTTCCAAATCAAAAGATGCTTCCCTGGCCAGAGTTTCCCTATTTGTTTTATCTCCATATTAGAATGGAAGCTCCTTGGGGGCAGAGACTGTCTTCTATTTTGTATCTGTATCCTCAGCGCTTAGCACAATGCTTGGAACATAGTAAGCGCTTAATAAATTTTTAAAAATTAATTCATCCTTCTAACTGCCCCACCCCCAACATGCATCCACACACCTGCACCAACTCCCGGGCTCCAGCCACATCCACAAAGATGATACCACTACAGTCTAGGATGACAACTTGAACGAGTTCCGCTCCTGGAAGGGGCAGTGGTATTTTTATGATCTCCCTCCTGTCACCCTAAATCTTCCCAAGTTATCTTTCCTATCTTACCTGTCTCAGCTGACCCATGTGATTTCATAAGTTCCTAAAGGAAGAGAAGGGGTGATTACCAGCCCCCCAATATGCTCCCAATTAGTAAACAGTTCTCTATTCCCCTGTCTACCCACCCCGCCATCTGACCTATCACATCTGCCTTTTAAAACTTCACCTGCTCCTGCTTCCTCACCTCATCTTGCCTCTCCAGCCCCAGCAGCTGCCCCATAGTTTGACGAAACCTGCCTCTGGTCCCAAAATAGAGTGGGGCAGGATATCTGAAGATTCGTAGTCCAGGAAACTGACAGAGCTGGAGAAGGTATTTATAGGACCAAAGAGTTAATAAAACATCCTTTCTTATTAAGATCATTCATCCCTCCTTTCCCCAACCTCCTCTTGCCCACCTTAGAACTTTCTCTGACTGGACAGAATAATTCTCTTCCCTTTACTTGTCCAAGTACCAGACATTGTATCCTGGGAATCAGATAGAGAGGAGAATGATAAAAACAAAACAAACAAACAAACAAAAAACAGGGCCATCCTTATCCTTAGAGCAGGACATCCTAGTATTGGGCATATGCATAAAGAAAATCACAGAAACTCAACTTGTCAAAAACTGAATTCATTATCTTTCTTCCTAACTTCCATATTAGTAGGAATGTGCTGGAGCCAGCTCTGATAAGCACAAAAGACTGTCAGCTTTTCAATGTATTTATACCTCAGAAATGGGCAATCAATACAAATCAGGGCTGATGTATTGTTTTACTGATTGTCCAGACTTAAAGTGTTAATAATTAAGATTAAACTTAAGAGAGTATGTGTATACTCACCCCTTCCCCCCCATTACCAGGGCCCAGTTGCCAAACATTTACCAGCACACCTATGTATTGTACTTTAAGCATTTCTTGAGCTAAGCAGGAGTACAGTAGAAGGCTTAGGGAATGAATTCATCATAAGACTAGAGGCCTAGTGACTTGGGATGATAGAGAGAAGAACTAGAATTTATATAACACTTTAAGGTTTGCAAAGTGCTTTACATCCATTATCTCATTTGAACCTCCTGGCACTCTCTGTTAGTACTATCAAGGTCACCACCATTCTCCCAGTAATCCAGACTCAAAACCTAGGTGTCATCCTCATCTCACTATCTTTTACCTCTCCTTGACCCCCTCCTCTACCCAATTGGTTGCCAAATCCTGTAGTTCTGATTTTTGTAACATCTCTGGTGTAGATTCCCTTCTCTTCTCTGACACTGCCACCCCCCGGTAGAGGCTTTCATCACCTGTGCCTTGACTATTGTCATAGCCTGTGGTTTGGTCTCCCAGCCTTAAGGCTCTCCTCACTCCAATCCATTCTCCACTAAGCTGACTAATTGATCTTCCTAAAGGAAAAGTCTCACCATATCACCCTCCCAAATTAAATAAACTCCAATGATTCCCTATCACCTTGAGGATCAAATATTAAGTCTTTTGGTTTGTAAAGCTCTTCATAGCCTGGCCCCTTATATCTTACAGTCTTTTCTTATGCTCCACTCCCCTTCTAATACTCTTCCATATGGTGATACTAGTCTCCTTGCTGTTCCTCACACATGACACTCCACTTTCCAACTGAATATATTCACTGGCTGGCCTCCATGCTTGGAATTCTCTCCTTCCTCAAATCTGTCTCCTGGCCTCCATCAAGTTTCAGTTAAAGTTCTACCCTCTGAAAGAAGCTTTTCTAAGCCCTCCCTAATTTCAGTACTTTCACTCTGAGATTACCTTCAATTTATTCTGTATATATCTTTTTTATATGTATATATGTGTATGTATGCGTGTATATATATATGTTTATATATATATAGATGTTTGCATATTATCTCCCCATTAGACTGTGAGTGCCTTGAGAACCTGGACTGGTTTTTTTCCCCCTTTCTTTGTATCCTGCAGCACTTAGCACAGTGCCTAGCACATAGCAGGTTCTTAATAAATTCTAGATGACTGACAAATGTCCCCTATATTGATATATACAAAATGTTTATGATAATATTTCTTTGAGTGTATCAAGAACTGGAAATAATGTGGGTGGGTGTCCATCAAAAACTATGGTATATGAATGTAATTGAATATTGTTGTGTAGCAAGAAATGATGAATATAAAGATGTCAGAGAAACATTTAAAGATTTGCATGAACTGATGTAGAGGGAAATGAGCAAAAACAATGAGCAGGAAAGAGTAGAGATAAGGAAACACACTTCCTCCCTCACAATGGAGATGTAGGGGCAGAAAATACCAGGGTATACCTTTTCAGAAGAGGTTTCTATCAGATATTTTTGCTTAATTGTTTTTGTCAAAAGAAAGGGTTCGATGGAGGAAGTGGAACAACTATGATACAAATATAAACATGTATCAATAAAATGTGTTTTAAAAAGAAAAGAGAGAAAGAGAAGTTACATTAGGAGAGAAAATATTTCAGATCTGATTCCCTTTGGCAAGTGTTGAGCTCACTCTCCATGCCCTACCTCTGTGTACGGCAGACTATGGTCATCATGGAGAAGATTACACCTATGGCAAGGCCCAAGTCCACACTCAAGGTCACTACAGCTATCCATGTGACCAGCCAAACAGCCTGTCAACCATAGGTGGGAGAGAGTAAACACAAGGAAAAAATATGGGTCAACAGTGACATCTGATTAAGGAACTGAGGGGTAGTGAGTGTCAGGTCAGGGTTTTGGTCGAGGTAAGGCATGGAAGATGAGGGAAGGAAGTGAACAGAAGAAATGGGATATCTGGAATGGGGGTGGACACAGTTTCCTCATTAGGGGAGTACAGCAGTTATACAGGCAAGAGATCAGGCAGCAGCTTAGAGTGGTGGGGCAACTCTAACTCTTGGGGTATCATGGTACCTGGGAAAGGATCTAACCCCCATCTTCCTTCTCTTTGGTAAACCAAAATTTTATTTAGGGGGTTACTGTAGGATTTAGTCTAAGAAGGGAACAGTAAACAGGGAGGCAGTATGAGGAACAATCACAATTAGCTAGGGTAAATAAGAAAGCAAGTAAAGTGTTTCATTGAATTGAATTGAACTGAATTAAACTAAGTTGAGTTTAGCTGAGTTAAATTAGGGAGGCTGAGGGACCCTGGTGTAGTCTCTCACAAAATCCATCTTGCTTATATGCCACAGATGGGGCAGCTCCTGCATCTGGAAGAACATCTGGCGCATGCTGGAAATGTTGATGCAGGCAAGGACAGCCTGGGATTGGGAAAGAGAGCTCAGTATCCCTATCCCATCTCAATGTGCCTTTCCCCAGCTTCTCCCACAATTTACTACCTTGGGCAAATAGTGGAAAAGAGGTCCCAACCACAGTAGCACTGATAGGACAACTGCACAGGAAAAGAGGCCTGCAAGCTGGAAGGGAAGGAAGAATATAAGGAGTGGGGGTGGGGAAGAGAGAAACTGTTCCTCTCATCCCCATAAACCTCCTGAAATCTATGTGCATCTTTTAACACCATCTCTTTCCCCTTACTTGGATGTCTCTCCACACCCTTTATGGTGGTCCTTCCTCATTTCTTCCTACCTAGACATCCCAGACCTTTCATATGCTTCACTATTTGATCTAAATATCCTCCCCCCCCTCCCCTTACTTAAATGTCCCCCACATTACCTCTCTAGTCCTTGGTCCTCTCCACTTTTACCTGTGTGTGTCCCCCTGCATCCACTAGCAAACTGGTTGTAGCTAAGGAGGCTGAGTTGGGGAAGCAGGAGAAGAACGAGGAGACAAGATTGGAGATACCATGAGCCAGGAGCTCCTGGAGGTAAGGAGAATATTAGGATTAGGGTGAGTGGCTTATAATCAGGCTAGGATCAGGGGTCAAAAGTCTGAGTCACACCTGGTTGGGGTTGATGGCATAACTGTGCTTGTCAGCATAGATTGAAGCCAGAGACACTGATACAGCAAAGGTAACCAGTGCAATTGGAAGGGAGTAGGCAAGAACCAGGGGCAGTGTAGACAGAGATGGTATCAAGGGTTGGGAGAACCTGGAAAAGAAGAGATTAGTGGCAGAACTAATTGTAGTGATGATGAGGGTGACCTGTAAGGCCAGGGGATTCCTTTGGAGAGTCTGAGGGACAAGAATTGGGTTGAGAATGGGTTAGAGGGCCGACAGCTTTGGGAGTCTGGGGAAATTGGAAAGGGATGTGGGAGAAGAGTTGAGGATAAACGCAATATTAGGAAGGACGTGAGCCAGGGTTTTCTCTGTTCTGTCTCACCCAACTGGCAGTGACCCAACGATTTGTACATTGTATCTTGTGTCCAGAGAGGAGGTAAAACAAAGGAGAGAGGCCAAGAGCACCTAGGGAGGAAAGACAAAAGGGGGGGGGGAGTGGAGCCTCTTCAGCAGGGAGGAAGAGGTTAAACTGGGGAGGTAGGGAGCAGCAAGGTCACATTTTAGAACGGAGATCCGAGGAGGGGGACAGGACTCAGAGAATGAGAAGGGTAGTCCTCTCACCATGAACACCTCTCCTGGGATCGGAGTAGGCAGCCTTTCTCGGAATCTCACGTTCAACTCTTTGACTGGTACAAGGAGCGCCAGGCTAAGGGCTGAGATGGTCAATTCAGCTGGACTGCTCTGTGGCAGCGCAGTGAGCACCGCGGCCAGCGTCTGCGATTGAGGGACATATTAGCCGGGCCTCCCTTCGCCCCCTGACGCAGTCCTCTCGATAACCTGACTGGCTTGGTCTCTCCGCCCAGCACCATCGCTCTAGCCAATCTTCCAGTTCTCCTGATTCACCTCGACCTTTATCATAGCCTCACACCCAGCCCCAGCCCCAGAACCTCCCAAATTCACTGTGGTGTCTCCTTCCTCGGAGCCCCTGAGGCCTCTTCCTTCTTTTCCACCTTGAAGAGGGCAAAGTAGCCAATCTGCCGGGGGAAGGGCAGTCCCAGGAGACTCTGAAGCTGGGACACAAGCACGTGCACCGCGGCTCCACTGGTGAGAGCCTTGACCACTGGCTCCGACAGGAAGGTGGACAGGAAGCCGAGCTGCAACGCGAACATCCCTAGCTGCCGGGGAACGGAGGAATAAAGTCAGGGAGTGGATAGGGTAGCAAGAGAGGTGGGCCAAGGAAATGCAGGTCATCTGCATTTCGTCACTCTTTCTTATTGTGGTCCTCCATGCAAAAGAGATTGGGGGTGGGGAGGCGAAAGGGCTGGTTCAGATCTTCAAGGAGAAGCCCCCCCCCCATTCCGCAACACACAAGCACCATAGTCCCAGATATCCTGACTCCCTTTCTCCTCCCTCCTCCAACATTCTTCCTCTTACCATGAATCTCTCCCTACCTTCTCACCTAAAACAGGTCCCTGGGGTCCCCCTTCCCAGCCTCCAAGTTTCCTGCTGACCTCCCCCTCAGCCTTCCTCACCATAACCGCCCCGCTCCAGAAGGCGATTGCAGCCGCCGCCCCAACCCTCTGCAGGTCCAGCTGCATTCTGTCAGTCGAGCTCAGATTGCCCCCGGGGGGCTCTGGGACCAGGCTCTCTACTGCTGAACCTGTCATAAGGCTGAGTACTGCAAAGGTTCCTGCAAGAAGGAGGGGGGACCTCGGAGGGAGATGTAAAAGATTACAGGGAGAGCCAAATCTAAGGTGCAGAAAATCTGGGAGCCTCCTCCTCCCACCTTTTCTCCACGCTCCCCTCCCCCATCGTCCCGATCGCCACCCCCTTTCCAGCTGCTGGAGGGACTTGGCAGAAGCCGCAGGCGAGCAACCATCAAAAGAGCTGTAAGTGGCGCCGCCAGCTGGCGATGAGTCGGGGAAAGATTTAAAGTTCTGCGGACAGCGTCCGCTCCTCAAGGATTGGGATGGATGGGGGTGGAGTGGGGGATGGGGAGAGAGAATCTAGTAAGAGCCCTGGGGCTGTCTAGCAAACCCGCTTCCCCTCCTGCTTCGTCCCACAGGCTACTTGCTACCCTTCTGAGACCCTTAAAGGCTGAGTTTAATGTCCATTTTAACCTGTATGGAAACACCAAGGAAAGAAAGCACAACTTTGTAATTTGCTTGGAGCCTACAATTCCCCAGAGGTTTGCTGGATCCGGGGACCATAAGAGAGTGAGATTGAATAGAAATGGTCACAAGGAACTCTGCCAAGTAGGAATGGAATTTCTACCCATTTCCACTCCCCCTAGGAATTATACTGGAATTCAAATGAGACTGGTGGCATAACATATGAGGGTGCCCAGATCACTCACCGGTGGATAAGTGTCTTCCTGTACCCAGGAAGGTGTAGATGAGGACAGGAAAAAAGGAAGTATAAAGTCCAAACACAGGGGGCACTGAGGTTAGGAGGGCAAAGGCCATGCCTAGCAAGGGGAGAGATGGAAAGGTCACTCTGGGATACCCAGGCGCATCAAACCTTCTTGTTCTGTGCTCTCAACCAAAGGAGAAATTTGGTCCTGATCTTAAGGATCTGTTAAGTATACTTAAATGGGTACTGCTGAGAGCCAACCTGCTCTTAGGGGCCCTAAGTGCGGATTAGGTTTATGCATCCGTGTCCTGAAGGAGCCCTGGGAGGCACCCCCTGGGCTTCTTGACAATTCCTTCAGCCAGAACAGGTAAATGACTTCTTCCCCGAGGTATGGGGGGAGGGGAAGAATCTGATGCAGGGTGACCCACAAAATTCAATTGTCCCGACCTCCGAGCCTAGAGGAATGGGATTGTCAAGGGGGCTTCACCCTAATCTGGACTCCCCACACCTCGTCCTCCTTGGTACATCTCCAGACTCCAGCGTCCCTTCAACCCGCTTGAGGGCTCAACTCTCCCACCCTGACCCCCTCCCCAAGAAGATCCTTCTAGTTCTGACTGTCCCCTCACCCTGCGGCACATGCACTACGCCCACGGTGACTCCGGCTACAGCGTCTCCGAGCAACCAGGTCCTCCAGGGGTACCAGGGCAGCCAGGTCAAGGGAGGAAATCGGGCCCTGAGCAGCCTCCACGCCTCCCTCCTGGAGCAGGTCCGAAACAGCTTGTCCCGAAAGCCCCGCAGCAGCTGATCGGGTAAGGGATCTAGACCCTGCTCGGCGCCCCCAAAGTGCCTCTGGAACAGTGCCTCGGTAAGAGGGCTTAGGACACCAGACACTGCTTCGGACCCAGTACTAGCCACCGGGTCCAACTCCTCTCCCAACACCGGACAGGGTACAGTGCTAGACGACTCACTCATTCTGCCCTGGTCTACCCTCCTCCTCCAGCCCTGACTTATGTACCCCTCCACCCCGTTCCATAGAACCCCGCCCAACGTGTGGGCAGGGAACCCCCTAGCTCCACCTTGTCGGAGTACCATACAATTAAGTACTAGGGAGGGGTACATCTCCCCGGGGAATCCTATCTAGGGGCGGGGAAGAGATCCTGGTGAAACACTCTGGGGGTAGGGGGAGGGAGAACGTTGTGTATCTGGCCATACTTTCCCTACCCTTCCCCAAAACTTCAATCATAATGGATGGGGAAACAGGGGCTGGGAAGGACACGAGAATGATGCCAAAGGAGAATCCGTATCACTTCCCAAGAATAGAGGTCTCCGAGCATTAACTATTCTTCTTTTCTCTCTTTTCCTTGTAAGAGTTATGAACAGGAACTCTGGGAAGAGAGCAGTTCAGATATTGCTCCCACCCCATATCCCTGCAACCACAATATTCCCAAGAGGAAAAGGAGGGGACAACAATTAGTCCACCCCAAAATTCAGAGACAAAGGAAGAGAGTACAGTTCAAAAGTCCTCCATTAATGCTACATAGCTGGGGTGGGGAAGTGGGGGGATAGTTTGGACGCTAAATTCAATATGTTGGGGGTAGATGATGAATGTATAGGTAATATGGCATGTATTTGTTTTTATTGACTCTGACTCACCAGTTTGGGTAGTGGTTATTTTATTGAATTTTAAGACTGTAAGGAAGGTACTGTCCCTCAGACCATCTGATTCGGATTCTAATTTCTCCCTGATTGTATTTTGCTTTGGGGAAATGGGGGGGGAACAGTTGTAGGGTACAAGAAGAGCTTTGAAGATAACCCTCAGTCTTCTCTAAATCTGGACACTCCCTTCTTTCTTGGCCCAGATAAACCCTTTTGGTCTTCCTGAACTCAAAGCCTAAATTCATAATCCAACTTCTGCTCCACCCCATGACAGCCTCTGAAATTCCAAATCTCAAGAACCTGTAAGACCCCAACCACTCACCCTCTGGCCCCCCAAGTCCCTGGCCCAAAAACCCCAGGGGTCGGGTGGAGTTAGGGCGGCCTCTCTTGGCTTCAATTCCTCCTATTGTTTCCCTTACTGCTTATCGGGTGCTGTGTCCTGTCCACCCTCCTTAAGACCCCTCCTCCCATTGTCAGCAGAAGGGGGGCATAAGGTCCAGGCCCAAAGGGAGGCTCTGGCCCTTTGCCCACTCTAACCCCACAGCCCCTCCTACAAAGAATTCCATTGTCTGGTGAGGAAGCACAGCCCCATGTGATGGAGCCCCCAGGGGACAGATGGACACAGTAGACACGCAGATGAATACAGACCCAGGACCAGGGCAGCTGGACACAGTTGCAAGTCTCTTTCTTTCTGTCCCTAGTCCTTGGGGTATAGGATATGAAGGAGTGGAGGCTCCTTCTGAACTTCTCAGAACTTCCCTTGGGTCCCAGGTCTGGAAGATGAAGCATCAGGAATTCCAGCACCAAAAGTAACATCACTGTCCAGGTTTCCTCTCCCCTAAACTGGGAGCTGAGTGATCACTTAATGAGGACTTCAGAGGAAGGGGAAGAGGGCTTTCCCCCCCAGGATTCTCCAGTGATGGTGGTGAAAAGCTCAGTCCAAAAAAGGTATATTTAGGATTTTGCCTCTTTAGCGTCTGAAATGGTGGGTTGTTGGGTTTTGTTTTGTTTTGTTTTTAAGTAGTTGGGAATGGGAGGGAAAGGAAAAGCTGAGATGTGGAAGATCACATAGGCTTGGAATTTCCAATGTAGCAGGTAAAGAGGAGAAGGTCAATGACATATATAACAAGACTTTAGGATTAAATCATTAGGATTCCTAATGATTATTTAGTTCCCAGGTCTGGGGTGAGAAGTTCACATGAGAGCCCATTGATTTCAAACCTTTTGCCCCTTCCCCATCTCCAGACCCACTCCAAATGATTCTAGTGACTTCACTCCTATACCTTTTCCTCACTCCCTCCATCCTCAAAGATAGAGCAAAACCTTTATTTTCAGGAAACACAAATCAAAATAAATCAACACATTCTATCCCCTGCCCCCTTACCCACCCACCCATACTTCTTCCTTTCTTGGGGCCTGAGTAATACATTATAGATGAAGGAAAGTGGAGGGAATCTGTATCCCCAGAGTAGAGAAACAATCTTTACATACTAGAAATCTTTCTTAAACTTGACACCATTCCCATCAGTTCCACCCACCCCCAGCCTAGCCCTTTCCATTCAGCTGACGACTGAGGGGAAGAATTGGTTCAAAGACAGTGCCCAGGAGAGGGGCCTCATCCATCACAAACCCAATGGCAAGCTACCCATCCCCAAAAGGTGAGAGGTCACCAGTCATAGCTCATCTTCATCCAGCTTGGCCAGCCGGGCCTGGCAGATAGGGTCTTCAGGTGCAGAAGAGTCCTGAGTAGGGTTAACAAGGTCCAGAAGAGAGACAAAAGTCAAAGGGTAAAAAATTCAGAAATTGACACTCAAAAATTTATCAGAAATCTCTGACCCTTATTCTCACCTCCTGGCTCTGAACTTCTCTGGCCCCACAGATTCCTCCTGTTAGAATCCTCCACTCAGCCCCATGAATGCCAATCCCTAACCCCTACCAACCAGATAATTGGGGAAGAGGGGCTTAACATTGAGTCAAATGCTTATTGACTTGACTTAACTTGGAGGGGAAAAGAGTAGAAAGGGACAAGCCAGTCAAGAAGAGGAGGATGCTGGAAGGGAATGGAAGGGTAAAGAGGGTATTTATATAGACAAAGAATGAAGGGAAGACTGCTTCTCATATAATAACAGATGGGGCTATATAGCACTTTATGGTTAAAAAATTCATACCCATTGTTTCTTTTGGTTCTTACAGGAACCCTTTGAGGTTGGCAAGGTCGCTCAGTCAGTCAGCTAGCATTTATTAAGCACCTACTATGTGCCAAGCAGTGCTAAGCAGTGGGGACACAAAGTCGAAACAGTTCCCACTCTCAAAGAGCTCACAGTATAAGTGTCATTATTATTATTACAATTTTACAAATGAAGAAACAAACTCAGAAAGCCAGGATTGTAGGTCCATTGTGTTTCTCACTATACTCTGCTGCGTCCCACATTATTTTCCTTCCCAACTCTCCATCTCCTAAGATCAACCTCTGAATTTTCCCCATATCCCATCATTGGGGATGACATTCCCTCCCCATACCTGTTTATTCTCAGGCAGGGGCCATCCAGCCACCCCCACTGGGGGCAGCAACAGAGAAGGGAGGGAGCCATTGATGGGTGTATGTGTGCTGACTGGGGCTCGGTCCCCAAGCTGGGATCGTCCAGGGCTTCCCCCCACAGACCCTCCTATCCTTCCCAAGCTGTTAGTCTGGCTCTCCCGTCGCTGGTATTCAATCGGTGACTGCAGTGCTGGGATAGGGAGAGGAACAAGGAAGATGGAATGGCAGTCATACTGGGCCCCTTCCCTGGAATCTCTGCTGTCTAAAACAAGAATTCACATTTATATAGTGCTTTAAGTTTTGCAAAGTCCCATTCTTCAATGACACTGGCTCCCCCAGGAGCTAACTGGAAAGTTCATGTGGGAGTCTAAGTTTTACAAAGCCAATTTTACTTTGTAATCTGCATCAGAGGGTCAGAAATTGGAAATGGACAGAAGTCAGAAGTCAGTCCTCAGGATCAGGAGTTAGAGGTCAGAGAATATCAGGGAATTTGGAGGTTAGAGAACCCAAAGTTGTTGTGGTGATCTCTTACCATTGAGGAAGTTCCTCTGACTTTCCAGGATCTGGGCTATATGCTGAGTCCAGGCCTCACTGATTGTTGGATCTGAAGCCTGTAGAATGTAGCGCTGGACACCACCCTCTGGCCCTCTTGAAGTCAAGGTGAATCGGCAGGGATCCCCCTGAGTGTTCTTCTCCAGGCCCAGACAGCTGACCTGAAACAGTGCATGTGGATAGGAGGAAAAGCAACTCAGATGCTTCTAGAGTTTCCCCAATCTCCCAGGTCCTGATTTCTAAAACTGACCCCACCTCTCCAAACTCTGGAGATCCTTTCTCAAGGTCCCTCCCGCTCTTTACCAGCACCACACCAAGTCATCCCAGAGTCCTTCCCACCTCTAGGGCTCCCCCCCTCACCTTGATGCTGTTCTTATAGACGTATCCAGGTTGTGTCCCACCCCTAACCCCTCCCCCTAGGGCCTCGCTGAAGATGATGATTTGCTCAAAGAGGAAGACGCGTCTCTCTCGACCTCGGGCAGGGAGCAGCCCCCCTGCTTCTGGTTCAGTAACCCAGAATGTGTCCTGAGCCAGGAGCTTCCCCTGGGTGGTCAGCTTGCCCTAAGGCCAGAAGGGAAAGAGTCATGATCATAATTAGAAGATTGACACTGGTCAGAAAAGGCTAAGAGGGAGAAAGGGAGTGGAACAGAAACTGCTGCCAGGATTGCCTAGGGAGAGCTGCATGCTCTCCTCCCCCCTCCCTCACATCCCTTTCTTGGGGTCCATTTTTGGGATCTAACTCTCTCCACAGGGATAACCAGATTGCAGAGGTCCCATACCAGAGAGCCCAACTACATGCAACGTTCTTCTAGGTTTCCACCTTCTTCTTGTACCTCAAAGCCTCGAAGCCGTCCCAGACTCATCATGTCATTGCAGCGTTTGGGCACAAAGCACATGACTTCTACTGCACGCTGAGACAGGAGGAATTAGAGAAATACACTTAGAAGTGGAGGGTGAGACAAATTCTCCCTTCCTACTCTTGCTTCCTTCTCTTAACTAATTTCCCTAAAATGTTCTCTCCCCACACTAACCCTTAAATGGGTCCCTACCTAAAGGGAATGGAATTGGTCCATTGAGGTTTGGAAAGGAGAGAAGAGTGGTTATGGTTAGAAGAGGGTGTGAGGTCTCCTTACCTCAAGCTCTTCAGTATTCTTCTTGGCTTTGCTATAATATTTGAGGAAATCCTGAGACATGTAGAAGAAACAGAAAAAGGTTCTGATGATGGGAACCTGATTTCCAGATTTCTCAGACACCCTGAGGGTAGGACAACCTGGATAGGATGTGAGGAGCTCTAAAAGGAAGGCCTGGAAGGTAAGGCTGGAGGGAGAGTAGGTAGGTCTATGTGGGCAAGAGGCTCTGACCTTGAGTAGCAGCTGGTACTGCATGATTCTCTGTACAGGTTTGATGAGAAGGTCATTAAGCTGAAGACGGTGACCAAGATGGTGACGGAGCTCCTGAGGAGGAACCCGGGAAAAGGGAGAGAAAACAGGCTTTAGCTGGGCTCCTATGTTGGACCCTGGCCCACCAGTAAGTCTGAACACTGACCTCAAAGTAGCTATCTCCAAATTCAGACATGACGTGTTCAGACTTGGGTTTGTTCTGGCAGTAAATAACATACATGTGTAGCCTCCTCTCCTGAAGAAGTTTGGGGAAATCATGGATGAGGACAGCCCTCCGACCCTAATATTCACAGAGGCTTAATCCATCCCCAAAGTGAGGCCCCGTAGGTACCCTGACCAGCTCACATGCTTAATGAAGAGCTGGGCCAGCCAATCAGGATCCTGAAGACATTTCTGTAGTTCTTGAAGGAAGTAACTGGAAGTGTGGCCAAGGAAAAAGAAAGGAAGGTCAGAACGGATCTGCTTGATCCTCCCAGTCCAAATTTTTTTTTAAGGCAATTGGGGTTAAATGACTTGCCCAAGGTTACACAGCTAGTCAGTGTCAAGTGTTTGGTCTGAGGCTGGATTTGAACTCAGGTCTTCCTGACTTCAGGGCCAGTGCTCTATCCCAATCCAAATTTTATGATCTCTTTGATCTGTTTAGTTTTCCCCCTCCTCCAAAATTGTTGTGCCCCATTTCATCACCCCCTCTTTGCCTTTCACCCTTCTATTCTCCTCCACTTCCCATACCCTTGATGCCAACATTCTTACTCTCTGTGCCATTCATAGATCTGCTGGATATTCCCGAATACAATCCTGTCCCGACCTCGAAGATTTTCAGGGATGCCCTGGGCTGTCATGGTTGCCATGTAGCCCTGGTAGGAAGGCAGAATGTGAGGTATGAGTAGGACAAGAAAATGCTATTGGAAGGGGTACCACTGGAGGGACCTGGGCATGAAGGAGTGGAAACGGGAGAAACCTAGTCGGGGGTAAGGACCCATGCAACTTTTGGAAACTAGAGTAGAAATTTCCAGCTTTAGACAGAAAGAATGGCAACTGTGCAGGGGTAGGAGGGTAGAAGTGGGGGATAAGGGTGGGGTAGAGGAATCTACCTCCACAATCTGCCCCAAGTCCTCCACGTACATTTTCTCTGTTTCCACCAGCTCACTCAGGACATACCTAGGAGGAGAGCACCCCTCCTCAGGGTCAATGGACTACCTTCATTCAGCAACCACTCATTTCTGGGACTTAGTGACCCCCTTCCCTGAAGACCCAAGGCAATGCCTGTGGGAGTTTCTCTAAATGCTTGAAGAGGATCCATTTGCTCGTCATTTGAAGCACAAAAATAGCACTTACATACTCCTGTCCAAAGCCCTCTTCCTTTTTTCTTCCTCACTTTCTGTAGTCTGAGTGGGAGTCTCCTCTGTGGGCTGGGAAGTTGTACTTTCCTGGATGAGTAGGGAAAGGAATGTCCCTCAGCCGCATGGCCAGGAAACCTTGATGATGCTTCAGCATCTATCTAACACCATTTTCTTGATACCTGGGTCCTGTCTCCAGGTCCCTCCAATAAAGTGGTCAGTAAGGTCAATTCTGGGAGTTCCTCCCCTGAGGCTAGAGTTGACTCTGGAATCCATCCCTGGGTATCAAAGGTCAGACATGGGTCAGCTACAACAAATATGTTTCCCTTCCTAACGGTGGGCCCCTAGCCCTTGCCCTCCACTCATTATTTGATATTGCCTCATATTTGATGTTCTAGCTGGTTCCTCTAGCTCACCTGACATGATCCTGCCTGGTCACTGTCTGTCTCGGTTTCCACACTGAGGCAGTGTCTAGAGTGGTCCAACCACCGCCTCAAGCCACTGACAGGCCCTGGGGGTCCAGGAGAGCAAGGACCAGAGCTGAGTCCAGAGCTAGGGACAGAAGTGGGGGCCAGGACAGAGGCAACAGAAGCAGAGACACTGCCTTCACTGCCAGCAATGGAATAGGACTCTGGGAGAGTGGAGGTGGAGACAATACATAGAAAGCTTAGTTAGGACTTCTAGGAGAAATCACAGAACATCTTTCCTACTATAGTCAATTCTTTTCCCTAGTGCCCCAAGACCTATTGTCTCCATTTGAGTTGACTGGATAAAAAATCTTATTGTTCTTCACAAGAGGGAAAAGGGGGAGCTAACTATAGTGACTTCCCCTCCCCCACCTCAAGAAACTTCCAGGAGAGACTCCAAGCACTTTGTTCCCCACTCCTGAATCCCCATGAATATGTGGGGTGCCTTCACATTTTCAGTTTGGCACGGTTCATGGGTGTAGGGGGCAAACCATAGACTGGAACTAAGATCTGGGGGTGGCCATCTGCCCTCCCTTCCACGATGGGTACAGACCATTCCCTGGGAAACAGGGGTGGGAAACAGAGCTAGGAGCCATCTGCCATCCCTGGAACAGCTCCCCCCTTGCTTCAAACACTATAAAAAGAAATAATTTCTGTACCTCTTGTCCCCCCCCACTCCCCGAAAAGCATTTACTACAACAGAGAGAGGAGGGCAATTAAAGGAAGCTTAATATGGTAGGAGATCTGTAGCTAGTGAATCAGGTTATAGGATTAGATATAAAACTCTAGATTTCTTCATTGCCTCCCTTTCCTCTACCCAGACCTGAGTCACATTCGGGACAGCAAGGCTTTGAGTTTGATTGAATGCTTTTGGGGGGGGGGCATAGTGAGAAGATGGGAATGGTACAGGGCCCTGGAAGAAATCTAAACAGGGTGTTTCATCTCCACCGCGTAAAAACATCTCCACACATAAAAACAGACACCGACCCTCCTTGCCCCTTGCCCCTTCCCCCAGTTTCTTGAATTTGGAATCAAAATATTTAGAGCTTGAGATCGTCTTCCAACTCCACTTTTCTGGGAGATGTACTGACAGCCTCCAGTTAGGGGGTTAGGGGAGAAAAGGACCCTGGCTCCCAAGTTCCCTTCCCACAAACATAAATTAACTTTCCCCCTTTTCAAGACTCCCACCCCCCCAATGCTGAGTCCCACACTCACCGCGACCCCCCCGGGAGAAACAGCAGCCGCATTTTGCCAACACTTTGCGGATCACGTGGGGACAGGCACAACGACCCCCCCCGGTGATCCTCCCGCATGGCTCCGGGGCCCCCCCAGACCCCCCACCCGGGCCGGCCATGCAGAGGGAATCACGGGGGGCGGAGCGGGAAAGGCTCCAGGCGCACACCCCCCTCCCTCCCACCCAGGTCTGGGCTGGGAGAGGGGGGAGGGAAAGGATGGCGGCGGGGATGTCTAGGGGTGGATAGAAGTCTTATCTGAAGGAGGGACAAGGGGTCTAGGCAAGGGGCAGCACAGGGCTGGAACGCTGAGCCGGGTGAAGAGGGGCTCCGGAGCCCTATCCGTCCCAGGGTCCGTGCTTCCAATTGTCCAGTCCGGGTGGGGCCTGGGCCGGAATGAGGCTGCAGCTCCAGCTCTGTCTCTGGGGTCTCTTGGGGATGGGGGTAGGGTAGGGGAGTAGGATGGGTGCGTGGAAGATGGGGTTGGGAAAAGTCCCTGGGCTGGGGCTGGGGCGAGGATATGCGGGGGTGGCAGCGTTGGGGAGATACTGGCGCTGCGCTGGGTCTGGGCCGAGAGGCGAGCTGAATTGCAGGCCGAGCCTCTATGCAGCCAAGGGGAGGAGTCTATCTGGCCCTAGCTCCACCCTCTCCCGCTCCATCCCCACCTCCAGTTAGTCCCCAATTCCTCTCTCCCCCACTGGCTCCCCAAGTTGGAACTCTATGTCCCCAGTTTGTCCATCCCTCCCTCCACTGCCTCTCCTGATCTTCTCCCTCGTCCTCCCTCCTCCGTCCTTCTCTATCTTTAGAGGGCCGAGGTGGGGGGGGGGACTTTGGTAACTGGGCTAGTGCCCGCTACTCCCCCCTAGACCTCAGTGGCGAAGAGCAGGAGTCCCGTAGATAGATAAAGCTTCAAATTGTGTGTGGACGTGATGCGGAGGGAGGGGTGGGATGGGGGAGTGGAGGTAAAGATGGGGATGGAAAGAGGTGTCATCCTCTACCCAGACCCTTATCCCGGGAGGCTCAGTAGTAGACGGGTTCTCTCGAGTGGGCTGTGTGCGTGCCCGCCCCTCTCTCTCTAATTCTCTCCCTCCCTTCCCTTCAGTACCCAGGACTCTAGCAGCAACTAATCACCAATTAAGGAGAAGTTCTAGAGCCCTGGGCTGGCTGGGGACCAGGGGTGGGGCGTAGGGGCGGCTACTCAGCCTGGCGAGGGGGTACAGAGGCTGGATAGGACAGAGGTTGGACAAGAAAAAGGAAAATGTGGGATAGTCAGTGCAATTAAATGAATCTCAAGCAAATAAGAAGGAAAACACTATGTAAACAAGCAAGGAATATTGTTTGAATTCACCACTTAGCAAGGGGTGCCTCCCTACACTGCCTTACCCCCACCTAAACCCAGCTGCTTACCAAGCTCCCGAGTCGGTGCAGAGGTCGCAGTTTCTACCTCCCCTCTCTTATCCCACTTCGTACTTTTAGGCTCAGTTTCCCTTTCCCCCAGCCTCAGAAGACTCCTGCTGGGGCGCTGTAAGGACAAAGGGTCAGTGAGGAGACCCAGCTCGTCTACATCTAGGCCTGACGATCCCTTTCCTTGATTGTGACGTGTCCCCATGGAGAGATCAATATGCGCCGCTAGGCTAGAGTGGGAACAGATGCCACCCCAAGACGTTGCTTTGGACCTTATTACTATTGCAAAGCTTCACAAGTTCCTGCGACTATCAGCTGGGTTGCTGTTTGATAGGAGGAGAGGCAGTGTGCAGCCTTAGGTCCCTTTACCCCTAACCCAGCCCACCGTGGCCCCTCTTCCTTACCCCCTCAGGCTCGGGGAGGGCGCATGCGCGCAGCATGCCCCCCATCGCCCCCAGCATCCGGTCAGTGCGGCCCGAGGTGGGGCGGTCTGGGGGCTTCATGCTGGACTTAGACCCCGTTCGTTGCTCGGGGCCGAGGGGACACTAAGCCTAGGAGGCCTGAGGCGCTGTGTCCGTGAAGTTGCTGCTGCTTGAATCCTCCCCAGTCCTTGAGCTCCGCCCCACTCCCACCCCAACTCAAACCCCAGCAGGACTGGTAGAATTTCCTCTTTCCCCATAATCCCACCCCCACCCAATACAACTCGTAAAGTAAAAATGCAGGCCAAAGTGCTCCAATGTGTTAGGATCAATAAATCAACCTTATTCCCCCAATTCTCCAAAAGTCTAGAGGGCTGGGTAAAGGATCCAGGGCTTCCTGACTTCCTCCATCCCCCAGACAACACCCCTGTTCAGGGACCCTCCTCTCCACTGCCCATCCACAGTTGTGTTGCATATTTTATTTTTATTAAATCAAAAGCTAGTCTGGTGGCAGTTCCAAACTGGGTAAAGGTAGAGGAATGGGGGAGAAAGACAGACAGAAAGACAGAGACACAAAAAGGTGACAAGATGAGTGTGTAAGGGCTTGATGAATACACAGAGCAGGCTCCATCTGGCATGGGGGTGTTGTACCAGCCCCCACTCCCTCCCCTCTGATACACACACCCAGAGTTCATTGCCAAGTACAGTTTTATGTGTGTGTGGTTGGGGTTGGGAGGTAGAGACACTCCTCCAGTCATTTTCGGGGGAGGCCTCCTAAGGAGCACATTTCAGAAAGATCCAAAGTGGATGGGATGGGGTATGGGTGGGTACATGGGGCAGTGGGGTTCAGGGTATGTACATGGGAGGGGAAGAGGGAAGAGAGAGGGAGCAGCATGGATAGAACCCTTTTAGGTTAACCCCAAACAGATGGTGAGATCTGGGTTGGGGGGGTAGGGGTCACATCACACTGAAGTACATGGTGGAAGTGGGGGACAGAAGAGTCAGGAGGCTGTACCCTCCTATCCAAGGCTCCCTCCAAAACAGAAAAACCTCCTACGAACTGGAGATAAGATGGAGAAGAGTGACTACAGACATCAGTTGACAGGTTGGAGGAGGTAATGAATCCTCCACAGGGGAATGTGTGGGGGGAGGGGGCAAAGGAAGGGAATATCCTTTAATCATCTGTTATGCCCTTGGCTCTCAGTTCCTCTTGCACCCTGGTCAGGTAGGTGGGATCCGGGTACCCAAACCTAGAAACAAATAGAGACAGAGGAAGAATGTTAAATGTGTTGTTCCTTTGGCCCCCATGCCCACCCCATCCTGTTTACCCTCTAGAAATACCAGGCCATGCCTCCTCCCCCTCCCTCTGACCAGATTATCTCATATCCCAGGGAAGGATAGGTCCAATTCTTCTTAGTTTTATGGACCAAGGTGAGTACCCCAGGAGTAGGCTATGTGTTTGTATGTGTGTGTGTGGAAAAGGCATGGAGAAGTTTAAAAAAAGGAAGAATTGTACAATAGGGGGTGGGAAATGAGGAATGGGGTGGGGGGAGAAGAGGAGATCTGGGATTAGGGAAGGGAAACATGTTGTAAAGCCAAAGGAGGTCTAAGTTGAATACAGCTGGGGAGAGGGCCAAGGGGCAGGTATGGGAGAGCTACATATTTGGGAAGGTTCTCAGGGCAAGGGTTGAGGGCCACACAATGGCAGTGAGGGTTAGGAGAGAGGAGGATTGGAGGGGTGTCGCACAGCTGGGGTCCCCCAGTGCAGCTGGTCTTGTGGTGGATGTCGTTCCAAGTGATGACATTTGGTCTCCCCGTGGTCATGGATGTGCCAATGGTGAAGGTGAGACGCTGGTCAAAAGCCTTTCGGAACAGAGTCAGCACCTTGTTGCCCTCGGGGCAGTCTGGGAGGTAGGCCACCCGTGTGGTGCCAGGATACCGAACGCCAGGGTTTGGGTGCTCGGCCTGGGAGGACGGGGGAGTGGGGGGGCAGTCAGTGGATGGCAACCCTAGAGGCCCATGCTGATGACTAACAGTCATACTGGTTATCCCTCTGTTGGTGTGCTCCCAGTTCACACATAGGGGAATGTGCTAAAAGATTCTTAGGGAAAGAGATACCTGGTCACCCATCAGAGGGCTGGTCCAACCAACAATTCTTATATTTGAAAAGCTTTTCCTACTATCTAACTCTAACCACCCATACTTCAATTGGACACAATTTTCCTTTTGATTGGTTCTTAGTTGGATTAAAGAGGAGTCAGTCCTCCAGAGAGGTGAGGACTAGACATAAGTCAGCTCTCGGCTTTCTCTTTCTAATGTTTCCAACCTTCTACCAAGGACTTTATTACTTATCTCTTTCAGCATTCCTCTAACTCTTATCCAAACTATTCACATTCTTATGAAAACCAAAACTGGATGCTTCCTTGGGCAGTACTCTCTAACAATGAGGCTCCCAGAATGGCTTCTTGGCCGTCACCCTTCACTCCTGTTCCTACCTTATATTGTCCCACTGGCTTTCCTCTTTCAACTAGGTATGACAAAATAATTATCCCTCTTCACTTGTGGCCCTCTAAGATTTGGGGATCCCTTTCTAAGGAGCCTTCACCTGACCAACTGTCCTCCACCCCTTACCAACAATTCACCTCTGTAGCAATTTCCACACTAGTGAACACTTCCAGATTCATCACATTAACATTAGCTAGTCCCTTTCTTTGTTCTCAATGGACTTTTATGTATGTTGAGGGTAAGGGAGAAGAGGAGGAGCTGGCTTTGTAGGACATTCCTCTCCCCACCCCCCCCACCCCCCATAATGATCAGAAAGTCATACTGTATGAAAATAGCAGAGCCAAACATTCAGTATCTTAAATCATTGGTCGTTCTTTTCCCTAGTCTTACGATAGAAGGGGTGAGTCAAATCAGTAGGAGAGCTTGGGAGAAGCCAAAAGAGGAGAAAGGAGTATGATCTTCTTACCCCTTGGACGCCAGGTGGGAAGACATACTGGATGACAATGGTTCCATATTTCTCATAGCTAGGCAGCAGGAGGCTGGCATCCTTGGAGACCAACATTCGCCCATTCTGGGGCTGATTGCCCACCAGCTGCCCATAGAAACGACCACACATGGGGCAGGCCTTCTTCACCTGCAGTGCCCGGGTAATGCAGCCTTCACAGAACGAGTGTCGGCACTTTTCCAGTGTCTTGGCATTCTGGATCTCCCCCAAGCAAATGGGACAAGTGCTCTCCTGCTCTTCCGCCTCCTCTCGTAGGCGGGGCGGAGGAGGTGGGGGCAAAGGGGGTGGAGGTGGTAAGGGGGCTCTGGCCCCTGGGGGCAGCAGTGGAGCAGCCCGGAGAGGAGGGGGCCCTGGGCGGTGCAGCTCTGGATGCTCACCCCCACCCCCCAATGACAGGCAGCCCATCAACTCCCCCTGCCTTTGTGCCTTCTTCAGCTCCTTCTCTGCCTCTTTGAGCAGCCCCTTCAGAGCCTTTCTAGCAAGGTAGAGGCTATTGGGAGGGACTGGGTGAGGGCCCTGGGGAGCGAGCTGGAGAACATAGATGTCGGATGTCTCTCCATCGATGAGGATGGATATTCGGTGTTCATCCCGAAGCCGTGCCAGCCGCCCTGGTGTTTCCTTGCTCAGGAAGTCCCATACTGGCTTTGAGACTGTCACCTTGTTCTTGCAGCTGCCCCCACAGGCCGCCATCCTGGACAGGACGAACGACACTGCCCCAGGATGAAGGGGCTTCAGGATAGGGTCTATTTGCCAAATACCAGTGCCTCCATTCTCAATCCCCAACCACCCACCTGAGATCAGCATCAGTTCCATTCCAAAGCCCAACCCAACCCCACCTCTCACCAAAGAATCTCATTTTAATCTCCAAAGTCCAGCATCCCTTCCACTCTACTGTATTCTATCTAAAGTTGTCCCAATAAAGTCTAGGTTAATTCCCCAAGATGAAAGATTATATTGTGATGTAGGAGAAGTTGCTTCAAGGTACATTGGCCTTTTTGCTTTCTTTCAATCCCAATCCAAGGCATAATATCTCTTCCTGGTTCCCCCTCCCTCCCACAACTCTCACCAGGGCTATAGGGTCCTCTTTCAGAGTGGGAGATCCAATTGATTTATTACCATTTAAACCAAACACCTGAATCTGGGACCCACTGAACCTTCCCCATAGTTACATTGATTACCTCCTTCCCTGTCCAGAGTGAAGTCGTGTGCTCTGGCAGGAAGGCTTCAAGCCTGGCACATCCAGAATTGGCTTTCCTTTTCTCCCTCTATGTCCCTACTCATGGGCTAGAAATATCTGACCTAGTGGTGATGGTGGTGAATCTCTGTCCAGAGTTGGAGAAAATGAGGGAACCTTCCTGGATACATCCTAACTCAGAGGCCCTATGCATCTGAGCAGCCCTGGGAGTGGAAGAATTGGGATTTCTAGAGTCAAAGTTACTGAAAGCACTGAAAACAAGATCCCTGGGGGTAGGAACAGTGAGGGATGGCTAAGCAGCATGTTACTTGGAGGACTGGTACCTGGAGAGCCCATGGACGATGGTGGCAGGAGGAATCCTGGAAGTTCCACACTCAGCTGGACTTTGACCCCAACACTGGGTGAGAGCAATAGGATTATAATAGAAATTGTTGCCTTACTTATCCCTCAGCTTCCCCCTGCTCCTTGCCACCAGCCAACTGTACCTGACATCTCCCTTCCTCTTCCCCCACCCTTGGTATTCCATCCCCTTTCCAAAAGAAGCTTTGTGGAGATTGGAACTTCAATACTCCAGCTTCAAAACTCTTTTCATCATATTCAGAATGCATGACATCTTGGGGTGGGGGGACGGGGGAGATGGGGTGAAAATTTGGAACTCAAAAACTTGTGGAAGGGAATGTTGAAAACTAAAAATAAATAAATTTATATTAAAAAAAAACTACAAAACTCTTTTCATCCCTAACACTACGCCCTTCAGGGGCCTTTTCCTCAGTCTACAGTGAAAAGGTGAGAAGAGAGAAGAGGAAGGGATAACTGATTAGAATTGGAAAAGCCTCAAAAAATTGATCTGAGCCAATTGTCTCAGGCATTATCCTGCCCCTTGCCCTCAAGATCATAAAGGCAGGAATTTCCTCTATGCTCTCAGACTTTCACTCTCCCCACTATTGCCCATGATTCCCTCATGGCCTGTAAATCCTCCCTAAGGTCTAACCTTAATCACTCCTGCTTGCTGACTGTTGAAGATGTGGACAAAGTGGCAGCAGACTCTATAACAAAAAAATATCCATAGTTCACTCCTACTAGTTTAAAACCAGGTATCTCATCTCTCCACCAGTATACACTGTCATACATGGGTCTAGTTCCTAGAAACTGGGACATCCCCTCAGTCCTCACATATTTACTTCCTCAGGTCTCCATCTCTCATCCAGCTAGGAAGAGAACCATTGGACTGAGCTCAGTGGCTAGGTCACTGACCCTCTCAGTTGGGAGGGAAAGGCTGCCCTTGCCTGTGTCTCCTTCCTATTCCCCCTCTCCCATCCCCCTCCCAACCTGGAGGCTGTCTACCCCCTAGGGGCTCTTAGCCCAAACCCTGGAGCAGGGCGGCTACAAGCAGGACCCCTTTGACAATGGAGGGCAACAGCGGACCCTTGTTTGGCTAAGGAAGCCGGCGGGGGTAGGGGTAGGGGTGGGCAAGGGCCCGGCGGTCCGTGACCTACACCAGGCCAGTCCCACCCCCCCAGACTGGGGCGGGGCCAGTGAAGGTGTCTGGAGTGGGCCCGGATCCCCGAGTCTCCATCTACCATTTCCCGTACCCCTCACCCCCCGCCAGGCCGGACCCCGGACTCCCCGGCGCACACACAGATACACACAGACTCTCACGCACACAAACACACAAACACACGCCCGGGGGGCCCCCCTCCCCGACCCCGCGGCTGGCAGGCCCCGTGGAGGCCCCGCAGCACCCTCTACAACATCCTTCCCCCGCAACCCCGCAACACAAGGGAAGACGCCCGGCTGCGAGGCGGGCGCAGAGGGTGGGCAAGGGCGAGGGTCCCCGGGCTCCAAGGAGTCGGGTCCGAGGGGCTCGAGCCAGCGCCCGGGGGGCGCCGGGGGGGAGGGGGGGACGCCGGGCTCACCTACCTCCCGTCAGCGCCGCCATCGCCGGTCACATGACTGAGGCTGTTGCTGGGATGACGGTCCGGACCTTAGCAACGGGGTGGGGGGGGGAGAGGAGGGAGAGGGATAAAGAAGAGGAGAGGGGGGCTGGGGAGGGGGGACCTCAAAGAAGGGAGGCGGGGCCGAGAACAGCGACCCCCTCCCCCAAATCGGAGGCGACAGTCACCGCCTCTCGGGCTCCACCTCCAATCCCAAAGCGTCCTTCCTGCACCTCCCCAGCCCTCCCTCCGCGGGGATGCTCCTGGGGGCGGGGGAGGGAGGCAGAGCTGCTGGGGAGGGAGCGAGGGCAGGGCTGGGGCGGGGGGAAGCTAAGTCGGGAAGGTGCAGCGAGCGAGAGAGAGCGGAAGAAGCCTCCCCACCCCGTTCACCTGTCCCTCTCCCTATCACCTTCGTCACCTTACCCCGCCCTCTACCGTCCTCCCCTTTTTCTTTCCCAATCAGCTGCGCGGCTGCCCCTGGAGGTGGACGGAGACCGGGCAACCTCAGCCTTCTGGCCCCAGCGGACAGACTTTGAAACACGATGACCCGAGTTCAAATTCCACACAAGACATTTCCTGGCTGTGTGACCCAGGGCGAGTCACTTTGACTTCTCTACCTCGGTTCCTCATTGGCAAAATGAAGGGATCGGTAGTGGTCTCAAAGATGCCTCCAGCTCTCTATCCTATATTTATGAGATTGGGTGGAGGAAGAGCCTTTTTCTACCACTTACCCACTTTTAGAGCGTTGATTGCAGATGGAGCCACAGGCAGAAAAATGAGTTGAAGGAATAATGAGTGAATATTAAAAATATGCCACTATCTGTGTGACCTAGGACAAGTCATTTGACTTTTCTGAGGCTCAATTCTTTATGGGTAAAATGAATGGGTTGCACTAGATGGCCAGTCCCATTCAACTTTTGACTCTATGATCCTATGACGTTGGATGAGGGGAAAGACACTAACATTTACCCATTTTTAGCGTTCATAGCAAATGGGAACCCAGGCAGAAAGGTGGAATGGATTAAGAGAATAACACACCCCTCAGCCCCATTTCTCTAGCACTTGAAGGTTTTATAAAGAGCTTTGCTCATATCCATTATTCAAGGTAGATGGTAAATTATTCTTCTTTTACACCTAAAAACCTTAAGGATCAGAACTTTTCAATTTCAGTAACTTTTCTATTTTTTATTTTAGAAAACTTTTACTTTTTTTCCAAAAGATCTGAACTCTCCTACCTCTTTCCCTCTTCCCCCAACACTGAGAAAGCAAGGGGGGAAAAACTCTTAAAAAATGTATAATCAAGCAAAACAAATTCCCATATTGGATATGTTCAAAAACATTGTCTCAATTTGCACTGAGTCCATCACCTCTCTGCCAGATGGATAGGTGAATTTCTTCATGAGTCCTCCTCTGTAATCACGGTGGGTTATTGTTTTGATCAAAACTCTGCTGTCTTTCAAAGTCGATTGTCTTTAGGTTAAATTGTTCTCCTGGTTCTGCTCAGGGAAGAGACTTTTCCATGGCCACTCAGATAGTAGACAGCTACCTGAGAATTCAAGTCCAGGTCTCCAGATGCCGAGTCTTTTCCAATTACACCTGACTTAAAATAATCCTGTAATGCTCTCAAATTGAAGTCCCCACCAACAATAATCCCCATCCGCTACCAAAACCCAAAACCAGAGTCCAACTTTGACTTTACAAATTCTTTTGCCCCATATTTATTCTTTAACAGAAAGGGAAAATGAGGAAGAAGGAAAAAGAGGATTCAAAGTCCATTTACTGCTCAGCCCTTCCAGTATCTCTCCCAAGATACCCCGCCTAACCCAAATCTGTGCTGCATTCCAGATTAAAACCTTGTACCCTTTTGTTCACCCTAGGGCCTCATCTAGAAGCCATTTCCTTTTTTTTTTAACTTTTTTTTCCCCCAGCAGCCAAAGAGAAATTTAATAAGAAGGTTTTTGGAAATCCCAGGGGACTGCTGGGAGAGCACTGTCAATCCACTCTTCCCACCCCTGGGACTAGATGACTGATCTTTCTCCAACATGTTTTCCCAGGACCCAGCTGTATCCTTTCCCCTCACCCACTCTCTCCCTTGCAGCCAGAAGATTTCTTCCCAAGAAGCTTGGGGAAAGAATATTGACATTTGCTTCTTACTCAGCTTCTCTGCTGAAAGGACAGATGCATTTTATTGAAGGGCTGAGTGTTCCAAGAAACCCAGATCCCAAAGGAGATTAACCTCTGAGTTCAGTATCTGGCACCTCAAAGTTCTCATAGTTGAGAAATACTTCTCTCTCCCTCTCCAATCATAATCTAAAACATTCTTAAAACAAAAACAAAACAAAAACCCCACCAACTCAAGGCCTTTTCTTCCCCTCCTTCCCCTCACCCTGCTTCCACCCCAGAAAGTTTCTCTTTTCCTTTATGGATCATCAGAGCCCACCTTCAAGACATAGTCTCCAGGTTTGGGGCACCAGTTTTGCCTCTAGACTTCTCAGCTCCACAACTCTTCTTTATTCTGAACCCCAAGACTCAATAACAGCTAACTCTTTATAGCACTGTAGGGTTTGCAAAGCACTTGAATCTCATTTGATTCCTTTAACAACCTTGGGAAGGATTAAAGGCATTATACCCATTTCACAGATGAGGAAGCAAGATTAGAGAGATTTAGTTATTCATCTTTGGCTAAAAATACACACAAGTAAATTCCTAATATGGGATTATTCCTGTTCAGGCAGATCTATTCACTCTAAGTCTAGTACTTCCATGCCTTCTAAATCTCAAAAATACACAAAGCACTACGAGGGAACACTTTAGGTTTAATAATTTACTTCTATATTGAGACAGCAAGAATAGGAATATCCAAGATTATTTTTCTTTTCTTTCCTTTTTTTTTTTTTACCAAAAAAAAGAGAAGAGAGAGATGTTGCAACAAATGAAGACACCCACACTGCCCTTGATACATCAGCTACATGGTCAGAAAACCAATTTCTAGAGAAAGGCAGCTGCCGGTGTCCTAAATTTTATTGCATTGAGACAGGGGAAAGATGGGGGAAGGAGTAAGTTCAACCAGGGCCCTGGAGGGAAGATAAGAGGGAGGCAGATATCAGATGTGTCTCTCTCACACACACACACACACACACACACACACACACACACACACACACACACACACACACACACACAGAGTTTCTTCCTCCTGAAGATTAAAGTGGGGGCAAGGGAGTAGGTAGGGGAAAATATTCACAGGGAGGGGCAGTTATGGCTGATTCCTCTCAGGAGGTAGGGAACAGGGATGACAATGTCACCTATTTCTGGGACATATAACAGCAGCACAAGACAGGTTGAATGGGGGTGGGCTGATAACAAAGGTGAAGGGAAACAGGAAGAAGGAATGGCACTGGGTTCAAGTCACCCCAAAGATAACCAGGTTTGGTCCAGGTTGAGGAATTCCCCTGCCCTGGAACAATATCCAGAAATAACTAGACAAAGAGAAAGCAATATTAAATATAGTGAGCTTTTAGCTCCAGAATCTTTCTTCACCCCAGTCTCCCAGACCAGCCACCTAAATAGCTGATGAAATGGTCCCAGTCCCTGGTAGGGACAGAGGTAGGTATCCAGCAGCAGCAACCAAACCTCAACCCCAACTTGGGCCTAGACAGTGAGGATGCTTCAAGACTTAGGGACCTAGGACACTGAGGAAGGGGCTAGGGAACCATTCGAAGTCCCTGACAAAGCCAAATAATCCCTCAAGCCCCCAACCCAGTGGGAGGCCAGCCTGCTGACTATCTTCCACACACCTCTCCACTTCAGTGAGTAAGCCTGGCTACCACACTTTATGCACACTGCTGCGTCCACATCTGCACCAGGTACGTGGGGGAATGTTGGAAGAATGAAGAGTGAGCCTCTGTGCCTCTAATAAAGTTAAACAGCAAAGTTCAAGCCAGGCTGGCTCAAGCTTTCTAGGTTAGAGCAACACCTAGAACCAGAATCATTGGTCCTGCCAGGGTCAGAAGATACCTCCCCCCCCAACCAATCCAGCTCCTCCTATTTTACAAAAATAACACGACATTTTTACAAAGATCAAGGCACTTGGGAGGAAAAAAAAAGTCCCCAATAAAACTCTAATGAAGCTGACTCTGGGTGTGGTGCGGCTAGGACAAGATGCAGGGAAGACATCACTCTGGGAGTAGGGAGAGGCAACCTGGACTTAGCTAAGTAAGAGGACACCCCTAATTCCAGTATTCCCCCTACAGCCCTGTCACTTCTTCCTCCCCGACCCAAGTCAAAGGAGGCGTCATAGAGTGCCAATCAGTCTCCTAGGCAAAGATGTTGGTGATGAAATCTAGAAACCGCTTCGCATATTGATCAGGATGGACAGTAGAAATCTCTGCGCCAGCCTGTGGAAAGACAGAATTGAGAAACAAAGAGGGGGCTGAGGGTGGGTTCAGGGATGGACTGCTCCTTCACCCCAAATCCTTCCTCTGATTTCCACACTCAGTTCTTTAATCCCTCTCTCTCACCCCTGGTCATTACAAAAGCTTTCCAAAGAAAACTGAAGCTCTTTCCCTAACAACCGTTTCTGAGCCTTAAAGTGAGAATGAGAGCCAGAAGAGTATACAAGCCTATGGGGAATACTCACCCCATGCTTGACAGTCTTTGCTGCATGAGCTGCCTTCTTCTTGGCATCATACTGGGTCAGGATGTCAATGAGGCCCATGAAATATACCTCTTTCTGAGGGGCCCCTGAGAGATGAGGAAACATGGTGAAAGGCAAAGTATACTGCTGATTTCCACATCTCACCCCTATTCCAAAACACCCATAATACAAGTCATTTATTTTATTCACAGTTATCTATACACATGTGCCTTGTCTTCATAGATATTGTAGAAAGATTTCCTATTAGACTGGATGACCTCTAAGAGCCCTTCCAATCCTGAGGTTCTGTAAGACCATCCTTCAATGGCAACATACAGCCCAACTCAGGGGTGCCATTAAATTTTCTTTTCTGACCACCAGGAATAGTTCCAAAACCACTGTCCCCTTTTTCCTACTCACCTTCAGCACTTCGGATGGCATAGACATCAATGAAGGACTCAAACTCGCCAGGACCTAAGGGTCGGTGAGCGTGGATATAGCCTCCGATTCCCTCAGGGGAGGTACCACAGGAGCCAACCAAAGCTGGAGGCCCTGCCATACCACAGTCCCCCTCCCCTTCAGGTTCCTCCTCTCTCCCAGGTCCTTCTTCTTCTGGTTCTGTCCCCCGAACAATGTCATGGATACCCAATAGGAGGCTGTAGTCCATAATCTTCAGCTGTACCAAAAACTGAAGGCCCACCAATATGTCAGAGATACCAGACCACTTCTTGTCTTCCAGGATTTTACCCTCTCTATCCAACTATGATTCTGGCTATGTCCAGGGAAAAGAGACAGAGGCTAAGAGGATACACGGCTGGGGCAGTCTTATATCAAGTCAGATCCTTCCTAATTTAGAGTCCAAGATGAGTGGCCTGTTTTCACAACTCAAACCTACCATCTCATCCCCCCCAACCAGAGTTGTTAGGGATCTCCCACTAAGAATCTGGAAGCCCCTCAACCCTCCAAACCCAACCTAAACCAGATAGACAGAACAAAGAAGAGAGGCTCCTTTACATTAGGACTAGAAGACATAGCTGCCCTACGGAGGAATGATTAGAGGATACCATTTTACAGTTAATTCTACCAAACCTCACCTCCACATCTCTCTTTAGCTTTTCCAAAAATACTTTCTTCTCCTCCTCACCAATATAAACTTTCTGGTTCTTGTTGAGAAAATCCATATCCTTCAGTGTGGGCAATTCTTTAACCTGAGAGGAATGGAGAGAAGAACATTTTGATCAATTCTTTCCAATTAGGCCTAAAAAAAACCCCAAAAAACCTTCCACATTGCCCCACCCCGCCTAGGTCTTTGGGCTCCACCTTCTCACTCTTCTGGGCTGCCTTCCCAGGTTCACACCCTTCCTTCTCGTTCTTTCCCCCAAAGGTACCACAAAGCCTAGATCTACACACAAACCAGTAACTTCATAACCAATCAAATACAAGAAACATTTATTGATCATCTACTATATGCCAGGCACTGACACAAAGACAAAATGAAAAGGACTCCTGACCTTCTAGGAGTTTACATTCTAAACTGTTTCTGCTTTATCAACTCACAATACTATTGTGTTACTCAGGGTTTATACCTGGCTCTGACTGCTGCCAATTCACCTCTGGAGCTTCTGCCACCCCCAGAATCACATCTCGTTTATTCTTACTCCTATGGCTTCCATCCCAATCTTTGCCCATGTCCCTACTCTTCCATTTCTCTTAATAAAAATCTATCTCTTAGACTAAGAAAACTCATGGGATGAGAAGAGTCAACACATTTATTCCTCAGATTTAGCATATCACATCCTCTGCTCTTGCACCAACCCCAACATTTCCCACACAGAGGAGCCCCACCTAGCTGAGCTCTGACTAAAAAGCAGTAAAAAAAAAAAGCACTTAAAAAGCAGTCAATTTTTAATTGGACATAAATCTTTCCAGAGAATTTTCTCTTTCTTTCCATGGTTTATAAGCAGAATAGTTTGTGGAAATCCTTCAACCAAAGACATTTTTCTTCTCTCATTAGCAGAAATGGATATCCTTTCCATGCCAAGACATATCCCCATCCCCCCCAAAAAAACCAACCAGTGTCACCTTTTCCTTATCACTGGCTTCCCGGGATACCAAGGAACCCTATAAAAAGAAAGATGCAGAAAGAAGCAGTCAAGAAGTAGCTAAAGTAATGGAGAGGACATTACTCTTCAAACCAGTCCCCTTTCTTGTTGCTCCCCTGTGAACATCACCATTTCACTAACACTGGCCTTTTCTATAGGATGAATCTTCTAGCTCCTCTTCTAGTCCCCCTTCCTGACTCTCTTTGTCCTTCTTACCCCCTTACCTTGAGATCATACTTCCTGTGCACAGGGAGCCGGTGGCTGAACATGTTTCGCATTACGAGCATGTAGCTGTCTTCATTGTCAACGCTCACCCGGTACATTCCCAGGAACTGGGGGAGCAGCGTGTTGCCATGACACTTGACTATATACTAGGATGGAATATTGAGATGAGAATATTGGAAAAAAATCAGAAGACAGTCAAACCCACTTGGGTAACACTCACCAAAAGGTGGATCCAGACACTGGTTCTAGGTTAAGGAGGAGAAAAACCTAAACTTAACCTGAAACTTAGCTGCGCCCAGAGGAGAGGAGATCACAGGGACCAAGCCTCCTGGAATTGCCCCTTGAAATTCAATAATTTCTATTTGTATAATATCTTTTATTTAAATGTTCACACTTATCTAATCAAACAATTCTGTAATACAGGCCAATCAGATACATTATTCTTATATTACAATTGAATAAACTGGAAATTTCTAGGTGATAAGGGATTTGCTAGATTTTCCCAGCTGGTGATAGTGAGATCTGTAAAACTCAGATCTCCTGATCCAGCCTAAGCAATTTCCTTTAGAACAACAAAACTGCTCAATGGATTGAGTTAGGGCAAAAATAATATTCACATAGGACAGAACCTATGCTTTTGATTCTAGAATTAAGGCATTTGTGCTTCCATAGAAGTAGCATTTTTCTCATTCTTCCTTTTTCCAGGTTTTTCATTAGTGGCAAACAGAACCAAGATGAGTAGGTAAAGTGTTTTTGACACCTCTAGAACATGCTCTATGGGCAAAAAAAAAAAATCTGATAATCACTGCCTGATACCAACTGATCTTAGACAAGTAGACTGCTTCCCTGGACTCATCCTGCACTATAAATGACCATGGCTATAGCCTCCATATTCCCTTACTCTTGACAGATATTGACGTTAATGTTTTATTGATTGACCCTAAATTAATACTGCTTGTACTATGCTATATCTATGTCCAATATAGTACATCTTAAGCTGTAAGCTCCCAGAGGGAAGGAAATATAGCCACAATTCTTTTTCTATACCACCAGGCACTAACATATACTTTGTGATGACAATCCATGTTGTTGAGTCATTTTTCAGTCATATCTGACTCTTTGTGACCTCATTTGGTATTTCTTTGGCAAAGATATTGGAGTAGTTTGCCATTTTCTTCTCCAGCTCATTTTAATGATGAGGACACTAAGGTAAAGAGGATTAAGTGACTTGCCCAAGATCACACAGCTAGTATATGTCTGAGGCCAGATTCAAACTCTGGAAGATGAGTCTTCCAGACTCCAGGTTTGGCCCTCTATCCACAGTGCCACCTAGCTGTCCCGACAGTCTACATCTGTCTGTTTGAAAAAAAAAAAAAGCATCTATAAAGAGGGGGAAAGGCACAGGGTAGTCTTTGGGCCACAGCAATGAAGACATTTGTGGGAAGGAGTGCTGGAATGAAATTTAAAGGTCTAACCTGGTGGTAGTTAGAGAGGTTGCTATGCATGTCAGCAATGTCCTCACTAGAAACCTCTTTGATGACCAGAGTTCGATCATAGGACACAAGGAATCGCCCATCACTGCCTTCACTCTCACTTGGGGGACTTCGGGTAAGAGAAACCTGGGAAATATAACAGGGGTCAAAGATGGAGACCCCTCTTTCACTAAAGAAAGTAAAACGATCAACTGAAAACATGTAGGAGTAGAAGAAACACCCAGCCCAAGGGAGAGAAGATAACATATCAAATTCAGAACCACATTTGGTTTCAAAGACCCATGCTCCCCTCCTTTCATCTGTTGGGTAGGAGAAATCAACTTCATCCCACTACAGATTCCTTACCTGGTAGTCTTGGTCATCAATACCGAATCGATCTCGAAGGTTCCTGAAGACCTGGGGACAATACTCCTTGAACTTGAAGTGACTAGGCAGGTTCTCCCTGGAGTGTGGGTTGAGGGGTGAACACTTATCTTAACAGTAGCATATACTACAGACCAGTAAGTTAGTCACCCTGAAATTAGCAGTGAGCCCACTGTTATTTTTTTTATTTTTTATTTTTTTAGGCAATTGGAGTTAAGTGACTTGCCCAGGGTCACACAGCTAGTAAGTGTCAAGTGTTTAGTCTGAGGCCAGATTTGAACTCAGGTCCTCCTGACTTCAAGGCTGGTGCTCTATCCACTGCACCACCCAGCTGCCCCAATAGTGAGCCCATTGTTAACTGAGTTAACATAAGGACTCTAAGTACCAGACTGATGATCTGTCATTTGCTACTGGTGGTCTTGCACAGTAAAAAAAGGAATATCACTAAACATTTCCTCCAGGTAAACCCTTACAGGGTAGATCTCTTCCAATGCTAAGATTCCATTATTCTAAGATTTTAATCTTTACAGCTCTTTTAAATATTCCTGATTTATGAGAGAGGTAAAGACAGACCCTCTCAACTTACATAAGAAGACAGAGGAAGGAAGAGATCTCACTCACCTGTGGAAGAGGTGATTGTTGACTTTGATCTTGGAGCTAGCCTTAAAGTCATCTGGAAGCAGCATTACAGGGGGTGGGACCTGGCTAAGCTCATTGATCTAATGAAAAATCAAACAAGGAGACAGTAAGTGATAATCAAAAAGAGTCATGACAGGGGAAAGCCAGCAGTTTAAACCTCATCCCTTAAAAAAAAATCTAGGTGTGCTAACAGAGGGAGAATCAAAATCTCTATTCCCTCATACTGCTTAAGGACAAAAGTGGGCAAATTTTACCTAGAGCCCGTCACTAAATCCATTCCATGTGACTTCATGCCCATAACACAAAGTCATTTTATCAGGCAAACCCTCTAAGCTTCTCAAGTTTATTTTAAAAGCTGTGAGAAATTCTAAAGAAAAAGAAAACACTTAGCAGCCTCAAGATACCAAAGGCAAACAGATATGTGTTCCAGTTTTTAAAATGCAATCATTTTAGTCGGATGGAGATAAGAAGGTCCTCAAGGAAAGAGCAGAGGGAAGTGAGAAGGATTTAGTAACTATAAACAATTCTTAATGGCAGTGACTAGTCTAACAAACCAGTGTTCAGAACATAGAGCCATTGAATAAAAGCACAGAATAGGATGGCCTAGGGGAAGACTATAAATAATGAAAATACACATTTGCACATTTCTTTCCTTAGTCCTACCTGCTCTGACCTAATTCTCTGTAGAAGGTCCCCCAAACTCAGAAGGTGTAAGCAAAGAAAAAAGAGCAACTAATTTCCAAAGAAATCTAGGCAGCCAGGAAGTGCAAGCGAATTAGGAGCACATTCATTAAGGACAAAGTGGTTTACCCTCCCACCCCATTATTCTCCCCTTGGCCCCAAATAATGTGTTAGAATTTATGGATCACTTAGTCTACCAGATGGAAGGAATTGTAAGGGGCAAACGCCTATACTAAGGCTCTCCAAAGGAGCAGATGCCTTTGATTTTATTTCTCTTCCCCCTCCTCCCTCTCCCAAGGCTGACATCCATCCCCTCCCAAACATCACCCAAGAGAATGAAGTTAATCTAAATACTTTTTACTGCAGTGGCAACTCATTTAGTTGGAAAAGAAAGCACATACTCATCCAGAAAAATAACTTGCCATTCCCTAAGATTAAGCCATCCCTTCCACCTGCTGTGTTATAAGCTGAATCATCATTAAGACATATGTTCAAGAGACAACTCCTCTGAGCCTTGAAAGGAAAACTGAGCTGGAGCTTGCACCCTGGAGGGAGCCTAAAGGCAATATGGCACGGGCTTTGTGGACTTCTCCCAACTCCATACACTTAAAAGAAAAATGTTCAGTTAAAGCTTATCTTGGGACAGGTTATGGTGTGAAGGTAGAGTGGAATGGGAAGAGACAGCACTATAAAGAACAGTTTTCTCATGACTAGGGTCTGCAGATCAATTACAGTAACCCAAAACTGAGCACCTAGAAAACTGACAGACCAGAGTTGCCTAACTGACCCAAAGCACTTTTCCAAATCATAAACCAATATATGGGGTGAGATTTTAGTTCTACCCTTCAGAAGGAAAAGAAGGTGTTAAAATCTGAAGCTCCTTCTCTCCTCAAGGCCTCACTAAAGGAAAACAGTTAATTCAAGATGCCCAGACACACTTCTTTCCTCTTCCACCCTGGCACTCACATAGATGTTAGGGAATACGGGAATGGGGGTGCTCGGAAAAAACTTAATTTTCTTCCCTATTTCTTACTGCAATCTTAATCCCTTCCCTGTCTGTTTTACACTGGAGAGGAAAGGAATAACAGATGTCCCTCTCCTCTCCTAAAGTGAACGTAAGATCAAGATCCATAAACATTTAATAAGCTCCTACTACATTGAGCTAAACGCTGATTCCCCTCCCCCCCAAAAAAGCTGACAAAACTGTGTCCCCTCCTCACAAGACCCCAAGTTCCATCACTGCAGCCATGGAAGCTGTTAAGAGAGTTAGGGGTAAGCTGGGAACCAGGCTGGAAAGGGCAGGTGGGGTTGCATCTCTGACATGCTGTACCTCCGGACCACTGTGGGAACACACAGAGGATTAGGTGACTCATGAAGCCTGGAGCTCACCCGAGCTAAGCCAGAGGCTTCCGAGTCTAGGACCGGGCTAGAAAGCAGGAGGGAGAGGAGCGTGAATGCCCCCAGCCACCGGACCGAACCCTCCCCGGCCTGGCCCCGACGCCCCCCGCCGGGGTCCCTCCTCGCAGAAACCCGGGCGAGCAGAACGGGAGAGGGGGAGGGACAGGGGCCAAGGGACGCGAGGCTCCGGAGCGCCCGGAGACCAGCGGCGGCAGCGCCCCCGGGGAGGGGAGAGGCTCCGGGACACAGCCCTACAGGGAGAGGGGAGGGACGACGGGGGCAGAGTCTCACCGAGTGGGCGACGCCCCACAGGAACACGCCCACGAGCGGGTCAGCGGCCCGGAACACCTTCACCTTCTGCTGCACGAAATGCTTCTTCTTGGTCTTGGAGGCGAAGCCGAAACCCGGGCCGGGGCCCGCTGCCGCCGCCGCCGGTACGGTGGCCGACGAGGCAGAAGAGGACGCCATAGCTTGACCCCCGCGAACCTGCCGGAGCCGGAGCTCGAGCTAGGAGCCGCGATGATAGCGCCCGCCTCCGGAAGTATTGCTCACCTGCACCGCCGTCACGTGATAGGAGGACGGGCTGGGAGGCGGTCGGTCTCGGGGCAGCGAGGATGGGAACGCGCCGGCGCGAAGCTTGGGTACTGCACCACCTCCTGTTGACGTGAGCGCGTCATCCTCTCACCTGGAGCAAGCCCGAGCGAGCCTGCGCGCTGGCGGGGGCGGGAAGTCCGAGGGCTGGGTTTGGGGCGGCCTGATCCTCCCCGCCTGTCCCGGTCTTTGGGGAGATATTGCGGGGCGCGGATCCCCCAATCTGAGCCCAAGGGGAAGAGGGTCTCCCCGAGGCAGGGATTCTGCTGTAAGTGCCCTTCCCCTCCCTCCATGGTTTACGTCCTTCCTCCTCCCCACCTCCCCCCCTTCCGAAAACACGTAGGCAGGCAGGAGAAACGATAACGTTTTCATTTTATTTTTAAAGATATCCGCTCGCACTTTAATAGACACTGGGGTTTGTGTTGTATTTTCTTCCACTCCGACATGCAACGTTTGGCAGATGTGGGTGGGCCAGCCAGATGCTGAGACCCAGGCTCTAGGAGAGGGAGGGGACGGATGACGCGAGGAGGAGGAGGATGCAGGATGAGGCCTTCATGGAAGGATTTTTTTTTTTCTGTTGCGTGCGCGTGTATAGCGAGTGAGTGATACATTCCTAGCCCTTCTTCCACTAACCCTGTTTGCACACCTTTCTTCCCCCCACACCATGCCTTCACAACTCATCTGCTCCTTAAAAGAATAATTAAATGGCACTATTACATAAGACATACTGGACTCGGGGTCCCCTGGTAGCGAATATTGGCATGAAGGCCTTTTACTAAATGGTTTTTCATTTGGTCAGAGACTTTACCCTTATTTCTCTGTCAGTGTCATTTTCTTCAGCATTACCTCTCAGGTACTTGTAGACTCTATCTTATCCACCCTTAGCTCTAATTAGAGTCTGGTGAATTCTGTAATCCTAAGAAGCATGGCTATGGATGGTCTCCTCTTCCCCTTTCCCCCCTTTTTTCCTTTTGCCTCAAGGATGTGGATTTGTCTTGGGGAAAATATTTAGTACTGCAGCCTCCTAGTGATTGATAGAGGTGGGGATTTGTTGGGTTTGTGTTTTTGTTGTTGTTTTTGAGGAAGATTAGTTCTGGGGATGTGACTGTTTTGTTTGAGAAAAGGTAGTTCTCCTTTCTAACCTGGACTTATGCCTTAGAATAACTTTAGAAAAAAATCTTAAGTGGTTTCTTTATCCTGTCCATAGGGCAGACACACGCCTGTTTGTTTTCTTCCTTGGATTCCTCCCCAAGCCTCCCTCAAAAATTGGAAGAAAGGACTTTAGGCTATAGAACGGCCTTGTAGATAAGATTTTCATTTACAAGCTTCTGCACTATTTTAGTGACCCTTAAGAGAAAAAGGAAAATCTGGTTTTCTTTCTAGTCAGTGGTGTAAGTCCTCCAGTCTTGCACTTATCTACAAAAACACTTGCACATAGGCAGAGTTGGATGGAAGAAAGAGTTAGACCAAAAACAAACCACAATTCTGACCCTTTCTTCTACCCAGTGGCAGTTGCAATTTGGGCTAAGGGAGGGTGTAGTTGATGCTCCTACATATTAAGTCTTCAAGCTCTACTTCCTTAAAATTTTCCCCTCCCTTCTTCCTTAAAGTGCATTCTTTGAAAAGGATTCTTGCTGAAGAAACAGAAAATAGAAATTTGGATTGTTGCCCCCAGCTTGGAAGGAATAAATCTAGAGACAGTCATTCTTCTGACAATTAGAAAACCCCAAACCAAGAAGAGGGGTGGAGGGGAAAGGTGAGACCATAAGGCAGCATAGTATGGAACAAAGAGAAAGGGGTCCAGCTCACCTCCTCCATACCTTGAAGTTGGTGTTGCAAATAGGTGCAAGAAATTTCCCTGCCTGTTTACTCCATTACACTGAGAGAAATTCAAGAAGACAAACAACACCAGCTACTATTTGCCTGTTCTCTATCCACTGTGGTTTTTTAAAAAAAAGAGACAAGCAGTTATTTGCCAGGCTCAGTGAAGAAAGGTTGAAGGGATCAAGTCCCCTGCTTCTCCATCACTACAGTGTTACTCTGGGAATTTGGGCAGAAACTATGGTGTGGTATGTACAAAGGGCAGAAATAAAGAAGGAGATAGTGATTTCAGCCACCCATGTTTTCAGTGCCCAGAGTACAAGAAGGAAAGACAGACAGATTTTAGAGGACAGAGATAAAGATCTGGAATCCTCAGTGGGTAGGAATTCTAGCCACCCCTGCTTAATAAGTCTATGGGGGGGGAGTGTTTCTGTAACTTGTTATAAAGCCAAAACATTCTTCAACTTAAGGCTTTGTTTTTGTTTTGCAATAAGAAAGGCCATGGGCCTCTAGCTTTCTTTTTTCCATCTTTACCATTTGACCCCTTTACCAGTGACCCCAATTCAGTGATTAATACCACTCAGTGTGAAAGACAAATATATGAGAGAGAAGAAACCTTCACCTTCCTCCTTACTACCCCAAGTGAGCGGGGTAGGCTATGCATACAAAGTTGCTAGATACATCATTGGATACCTTCAAGAGTAAGACAGTGAAAAAAAAGACATAGCAGCAGTTTTGATATACAGTACACAGAGATATACAGAGAACAAGAGAAAGACATCAAACATGATACAGTTGAACGACGAGGATTGGGAAAAGGGGTTAGTATCAGAGACCACAGGTTTGCAGCATGCTGAGAGGAGAGGCCTCAATCCCTCTTAGAAACTGGGGAAGAAAAAGAAAGTGGGATCACTCTGCAGCCCAGCCATGAAAAGCACTTGAGTTTTTTTGATTCAAAAAGGAATAAGTATACTAATTTCACAGATTTTTGGCATAAGGCCAATATACATAAATTCCACCAAAACAATTCTCAGCTTCTTTTTCTTGCATTGTTCCCTAGCTCTCTTCACCCCTAAGTCCCTAACACCTCTTCCCCTATCTTTCTGGTATTTTTGTATAAGATTGGACCGAGTTGAGCTGTTTCTGGGGATATTTGACCTGGATTGCTGCCTTGGCTGAAGCAAGAATGTAAATTTCTTTAAGTGAAAGGATTATTTTGTTTTAATCTTTCTATCCCCAGCACCTGGCACAGTGCCTTACATGTATTAGGCATGTGAAATGTTTATTGAATTTAATTGAAAGACTACCAATGTCTTCTCTGTTAATGGCCCTCAGGGATCTAAAATAGTGAGCCTGAGAAAAACCTTTGTCAAGTTTTAAATCTGAGGGAGATCTTGGAGAAAATCCAAGTGAAAAGGAAAGGACCTAGGGCCTAGAGACCTAGCAGAGTTATGTGGAGAATAGATAGGGACAGGGTCCTGAATCAGAAAGCTCTGAACAGGCAGCCTCTAAAAAGGTGAAATGGTGTCTCTTGTCTCTCACCCTCATCCCTCCATCACAAAGTGAAAAGAAAGGGCTTTAGCTGAAGCTGGAGGGATAGACCAAAGAGGGAATTTCCAACAGGTCATTGGTAGGAAACAAAAATGAAGATGTTGGGAAGTAAGGTGTGGGGGATGGCTCTTTTCCTGAAGATTTCTTAGTTCAGGATATATAAAGTCTATCTAAAATAATTTAGGGATAGGAATTCTATGATCTCTCAAAGTCTTTTCCAGTCCTTGAACTCTTAACTCTGTTCCTGCCTTTTAAAAATCTTTCCCTGCCCAGCTTCCCAGATTCATTCTTTGGGCATGTACCAGTGACCTCTAGTGGCACTGTGACTAGAGCAGTCTCCACCTGGCAAGAACATCAGTGTAGGTTCAGGGAATGAATGTCAAGGCAGCATATGTGCAACATTTGAGAGAGGAAGGCAGAAATCTACCTACGGATGGTAAACAATTTGGAGCTGTAAGAGAATTGTTGAAGAAGTATAGGGAAGCAAACTGAAGCTAGTCTCTGTTAGACACCTAAAGTTACCTCAAAGTGCAGATATGCATCAGTTCATGGGGGAGGATTAGCTGGCTGCTGTCTCTTGATGAAGGGGGAAAAGCTTAGCCTGTTCATCAGCTTCACAGCCACAGGGCAGGTCACTCCTAAAGAAGAGAATAGCTAGATAATACCATCCGCCACTACTTTGCGATTATGAAGGATTTTCTAACATATTCTCATTTGACTTTCACCATACATTTATGCTGAAGTAAAGACAGACAAGGACTGTTCATAGGCTCGTAGATTTAAAATTGGAAGGGACTTTAAAAATTATTCCAGTAGCTTCCTTTTACAGATAAGGAAACTGGGGATTTGAGAGATTAAATGATATAGGTAGTACATAGCAGAACTGTGATTCAAATCCAGTTTCTCTGATTCCAGGTATAAAGGACTTGCCCAAAGTTGCATTTCACAATATAGGTGAAATGAGAACATAAATTTCGTCACAGACCACATTGTTGAAATAGGTTCAATTCTGGCTTAAGCACTGTGAGAATTCTATTTGGATTAGTGGATTGGTCAAGAGAATAGTTCTGCATTAAAGTGGGGATGGGACTGGGATAACCTTAGTTAGCCCCACCCAGTATCCCCCTCCCACCTTTTATATAGCATAATCCAGAGAACCTCCAGAAGAGAGTTAAGGAAATTTAAGGACTCCCCTCAGGAGTGTGCTGGTAAATGTTCAACAACTGGGTCTCCAGGAAAAATTAACATTTTCACCATTTCTTTCTTAAATCTAGACAATCAACAAACAATAAATCAAGCCCCGAGTTGTAGCATTTTCCAATTTTCTGAGATTTAAATGCTCACACTAAAAATTCAAGAACTGGTTTGGTTTGAACTAGCTCCAACACACCCCTGATTCACTCCACCCACCCACCAAAGAGATACGCTAAGATAGGGAAACCTCTGTACCTGTTGTCATTGATGTCTGTGGCATTTCCTGGAGAAATCAATCATTATGAGTGGAGGAGACAGAGGGAAATAAACAAACAAGGAGGTAGGCTATCAAGTAACAATTCTTTAAATTTCTCCCCACCCCCCCCAAGTCCTTGGGGTCTTTAAGATATAGCTGTCTTCCTATTATAACTGAGCTCCTTCACCAAATTTCCTTGGGAAT